ATGTATTATGATGAATGAACTTTTGGTTTGGCGTCGTGTATGCGGTGGTTTGGGATACATTTAGTCTAAACGGCGTTGTTATGTTGTACCATTGGTCATAGAGTGGCCTGACCTCCGCGAGTAGATATTAGATTAGAGACCAACACAATATACATAGACTAGAACATCAAAAAATGGAAAAGAAGTTACAGAGAAGCTGCTTGGCAGCGATAATATGTCGGATCAATAAACATGGGATGGTAACTATCTATGAAACTCTAACATTAAGCCCTCCTCGTCCAATTAGTGATCTATATGACAGTAGCAAAGAAATAGATGGTAAGAAAAATTAAACGAAGGAAGGGTAGTGGGAGAATCCTTTTCAATATTCTCCAGCTCAAGAGATTGGCTGAGAATTGAACATGGAGTCACAAGAGGCTCTAGTCTCTATTGTTTATATATCGAATCCTGCACTTTTTCACCACAACAACATATTAATTCACCTCGAATGAAATAGTGTCAACCCCCAGATTCCTTAGATCTGGCGCGTGGAGAGTACAAATGACCAACAGAACACTACTTAAGAAGCCATCTTTGACATGATCTGCATATCAATTTAGATTAATTGCATTTTAAAAGTTGATTTTAAGGGAAAAGTATGCTTGGTTTACGGTATTATGTAATGATAATGATGAGATAGTCGTATTAGTGGAAACAAGGCAGGGAAAGGGATGTTGAAAAGCCTTTGATAGTGGTCTAATAACTTGTTCAGAACAAAATCTCTGAGTGACAAAAATCATGAACTGAATCGGAAAGAACGGAAATAAATAGAGATGACAACATAAACTTTGTAATTGGACTACTATGCTTAATACCACCTCTGTGTAGATTTCCTTCACGACAGCGACAAAGAATGTAGAAAACCAAAATTTTCATACGATCAATCAGGTTTGGATATACCATTCTCCAGTGTTTAGATCACAAAAATATTGCTCACGGTCAACAAAGTTCGTTAGTGATACGAAACTAAACAAAATCGCGTTAAGTGTGTGTGGAAAATAGGTACGAGAGAAATGATTTTTTCTACTGCCATTCAATTCTTGTTATACTTTGGAGATGGTTAACTCGCCTTTCTAGTTCCAGCTTATTTTAACCCCGAAAAATCTCTCCATACCTATTGAAATCTTCAAACTAGAAAATAACTGTTTCGGTTGCGCTGCGTTGCCATACGGGCTGGCGCGGGACAATGAAATTTGCTAGAGAATGCTCTGATTTTTTCCTTGATCTAACGAAACGACAGATGCTGAGTGTTTATATACAACCAATATTTCGTCTAGAGTATTGTTCCGAGGTTTGAGGCTGAGGGCAATGAATATAGAAGCGGAGATTATCCACTCTTGTAAGAAAATGAGTGCATGAGGAATAGTCTCGATTCCCAACGAGTGCAGTAGAATAGATGCTGTGTACCAGGCCTCGAAAGAGATCTTATGTGTCACATGCGGAAAGAAAGTCGTGCAGATTGCATCAAAAAGTCTGAATGTTGAAACCTAAGAAACTTTTACGCAAACGGCTTCATCAGTTCCTAATGCAATTATCAAGCCAACTTCCATAACGGGTGTATATTCAGAGTCCCAACATATCTTGAGCACATCATTTCGGCGAAAATTCAATGTCGTATCTGCAAGATTGATCATTCACTATATTCTCACTTCTCGAATGAACCATTAAGACGCTTCTGCTTTGTCTGAAACTGGCATGGGTTATCTCTTGGATGATCTCGAGAATCGGTACACCGACCTTATCTTTGTAGGCAGCTTGAGGATCTTTGCGGAAAGTTAAGTACATCGTGTAGAGTTAGTAGAGTCGATAACAAGATGTATGGCTATGAAATGACAGCAAGTTGAAGTTGAGGTTCGTAGAGGTGGATGTAGTGATGCGAAAAACATCGTGGAAGAGTGAATGGAGACAAATAACATGCAGTATAGGTGGATTGGATCTTGAATGCAGCATGCAGCATCGAAACTATGACTGGTGCTTGTGCAAGTAAATGCATCGTATCTAAAAACTCATCAGCACGGATATTTCAACACGAGACTAAGATGGACATACAAGTATCGAAATCCATCCACATGACCTTCATAGTGAAAGCAGGACGAGAGGAAGTGGCTGTAGCACTGCATCTCTTAGATACTGGTGTACACCTCGGAGTATTCTAGGCCAAGTTGGATTGAGTGTGCTTTTGGGCTTGTTGCAGCGGGATGGATGAAGTTTCTCAAATAATTGACAATGTGCACAATGATTCTTTCCATTTGGCTCTGAAGGCTTTGTGATCGATTGCGGTTATCGAAAGCTTCTATATGTCCTCTCGGCTTGAGTGGTCAATATGGTGCTGATGTATCTAAGTGTGAAGCGTCATCGGTTTCGTGGTAGCTTGTGCTTGCCGATATCCCGCGGAAGTGTAGCGGTCATTACTTCCAAAAACGTACCCATATACTTGAACAAGTATCTGTATAGTGGGTCATTTAAATTAGTTGGTGAAGATAATAAGGAATAAATGGTGATGAATGAATGTAAGAAGGGTTGGGTAATTGAAGTTTCGATGAGAAGCAAATAGATGAAAAAAGTGCCGAACGGCTCGTAACAAGGGCATTTGAGGAGAAAAAAGGTCTAACTCACAGATCAGTTCTAATTCTTATATTCCGCAGGCGACACGGTCTAGGAGTATGTAGAAGTCTGAAATGCTGTTGCCAGCTTGATGACGTCTCATACCCCCTCTAGAAGCCACTCATTTGGAGAGAAACCCGTCTGCAAAAAACACCCTCTAGTGTTGGCTAAAACCTCGAGTAGATGTGATTTAGTCATGAACTTGGTTACCAATATTATCGGTTCACATTACTTCTGTTCTTGAATCCTGTAGTGATGTCAAATGTAGAATTGTCGAGGCCGGATATCGACACGCGTCAGAATCTCAAAATTGGAATGGGTTTTCGTTCAGCATTTGCATATAAGCTCTCGGAATATGACTTCTCTAATTGGATTATTTGTATTGATAACCTTCGCATGGTTTAGGTAGGGCGGGATAGTGTTGCTGCAGAGGAAGATTTCGAATTCTGATGTTTTTGCACGAATGCAGAGTGGACTTTCTACATTGACAGCACAGAGTTAGCCATATACACAAACTGTTTAGATAACATAAATTACTGCTAAACAGATGATGTTAAATCTGAAACAGTCGCCAGTAAAGTGTAAACATCCCTGCCAAAGCTACTAAAATCGTAGAAATGCCAAAATCACTCGTGCAATATCTCTCAACCCGCCGAAAGCCTTGCACACAGCCTCACATACCACGCTAACCCTCCCATCTGATCTTCCTATCCAATAAAATATATAAATAACCAAGTCCCGTGATTCCAATCACATTCGCTCGGTACCAATATACCTCGCACAAAATTGTTGATTTGGATTTTCTTCTCTTTGGCAATTAAGAGAATTTACAATCCTACAGTTACCATCAAATCCAACAATAACAACAACAACAACAAAAACAAAAAAATTGCAATCATTGCTCATTTTAATCGTACGTACTAATTCCTTCTTCTTCTTTTCCTCCTCTCAAATCATCGCCTTCACCGTATTTCCAGTTTCCTGTCGCGCTCCCCACCATACTTCAACATTTTCGAAGCCCTTCCATCAACCAAGATGCGCGACCTCTACTTCAACAAGGAATTTATACACTATACAATGGTTTAGATGATCTTTCAGCTACTAGCAGTAGTTGTTTCCTGGCTGAAGGTCTAGAGACCTCCTGAAATTAACGACGGCTTAACTTCGGGGTGCAAGGTGGCTCGAGCGCCTTTTTGCAGTTGTTTGCATGGCCAATTGTTCTCCTACTACCAGTCCTAGTAGTTACTGTCGATCTATCTCTTCATTGAATAGTCTGCCAAAGCTTAATACACCCTGAGGTCTTGAAAGGCACTGATGATGGATATGCAACTTCTCTTCATGTTTGTTTTGGTTTTTTTTGAAGCTTCTTGGAGTTATCAACAAATTTGTAAAGATTTAGACAGTCTGTTGTTCACTTGAAGATACCTCAGGATCATACTGTCTGCTAAGACCTTTCGGGAAGAGTTTACTATATTGTAGTATCCTTACAACTCCTTTGAGGTATCCTGCACAAACCAAACCTACTGTTGAGATGTTATCTTTTACAATTGAGATATTACTGTTTGCCATTTGACAGATATCTTTGGTTGCTCTTTCAAGGAGTATACAAGGACCGACAGATTGTCCTGGCTGTATTAAGTGATATCAGCACCTTCAGCTCATTTCTTCCGAATAAAGTGTGCTATACTCTAGCATGCATGAAGTCTTTGGTAGCGTTGTTCGCAGATGGCTACGGGATATCTCACAAAAACTACAATTCGAAGCAGAAGAGAGCCTACTATCAACCCTTGTCTTCTTCGAAGAGTGTCACATACTTGAAGACCGGAGAACTATTCTGAAGTATTGTTCGTAGATAGATTCAGGCCATCTCAAAGATTGTGAGGCTGTTTGTCAGTTTAATACAAGACAATTTGCTACTATCAACGAATATATGAATTCCTTGAGCTGTTTTTCATGGTATCTTGGGCGAATTTTAGACCCATTTCTTAAATGCTTTGGTAGATAAGGCTGGTTGCTCTATCTTAATGACTATTAATTACTGTCTTAAACCGTTTCTTCCGCGAATAGTGTACAATAATGATTATTATTTTGCCTCCAGAGTTCTCTGAAATCTGAGTATCTACGAAGAGTCTTGAGCCTTTGCAGCTCTAGGAGTTACATTCTCACATTATTGAGGAATGACTATGGCATTTTGCAACTGTTGGTTCAATTGTTCTAGACAGTTTGATCATCCAAGGCCGTCTGATTGTTTTATCCTCACTCAAATATCCGATTTCTATCGTGATTTTTCGTCTCCACATTATTCAGCTCAATTTTAACCAATCAGAACACTTACCAACTAACTATATGGATAGAACATGCCTTCAGAACTCGAAATTATCTACCGTATCCTTAATTCTGCTCCTCCGGGTAGACTACCACGCCTCTCAGTTCGTCAGGCGATCCTCTTCTGGGAGCAGGAGGCAAAATTGGCTCGCATAAAAGCCAGTAAGTTCGGATGTACATGTGGATACTCTATGTGCGTATCTAATGAGTAATAGACGCTACTACCTTTAAAGTACCGGCCACATATGGCTCCTCATTCGTTAATTGTAAGTTTTGATTCGTTCCTTGATGACTATATAACTAATGATCAATAGCGGCTTGAGCTCGGTGTTTCCCCGCAGCCGTCTGCGTTTCACCTCTCCCTCCGTCTCGTCCCTCCGAATTTATTCAGATAAATACCTGAGAATAAGTTCCTACGGCGCATAAGCGATAACACGTCTTTCACTGCTACGACCTATCTGTGATATGCGATGAAGCCAGTCTATTGTGATTAGTTGATATCACTGGCGTTATAGTGACGATGAATTATTCACACTATAGCCCTTTCGTCCCACTCATCCGTGCCTTACTTGACCTTCCCTCCAAAGCTCTAGCCTCTATATAAGTCATACTCCAACGCCTAACACTCAAGTCTTTCTTGAATCAAAAAATTCGTCCACAACATGAACCACCAAGCTTGTCTAGATTTTATAGTAAAAGAAAGCTTGTATGCTCACGTGTACCAGGATAAATATTCTCATTTCCTTACGATTCCCTTTCATCTCCGTTCTTCTCTTTGATACTATCTTGCCATTTTTATGTTAAAACCATGTGCTTGCGGTATATAGATCACATCCATCTGACCGAGCTAAGTCATTATCAACAATCCCAGCCTCAAACAGTTCTCAAACTGAAGCATCTACAAATATAGATCATAGGCCCATTCAGAAACTAGAACCATTCAAGAACCCCTGTCTTTGCAAATCCCGTGATTATGGCATGTAGATCTCCAATAACTTGACCTCAACAAAGTACTCCCACACAATTTGGTCATGTAAGGTGTATTATTCACCCAACTTACGCTCATCAATCCTCCTACCCCGCTCCGTAACGCAGATCCCCTCCTTTCTTCCACGATATCGTCTATATAATTCATACCTATGCTATTAGTCTTTTCTTTTCCTTCTCAACTCCAGACCGCCGGCCGAAGGTGCGAGAAAAACGTAGTATTTTCACTTCCTCGAGGTTAGCGCTGTGCCAGAAAGAAAGTACGAACAGAAGTCTTACGGAACCCGCGTGATATGGGAGACATATCTTCTTTCCTTTCCAGTCGGATGTTTTCTTAGTCAACGCGGTTATTGTTGTCATCCTCGCATTCAGAATCATCAGCTCATATTACACAGTCAAGATCAACAACAGTATTCAAACGTTAATTCATTGTCCTCAAACCCGGGTTCTTTCCAGCACGAATTCTATACACCCCACAACGATGTAAATGATCGACAAATTGGGTGCTGTTGCAACATTGCCGAAGCTGACGACAATTGTTGAATTTATCACTGATAGAACCGAACACGATGTTTAGAACTCTTAATAGCCCCCAAGCTACCTTCCTTACAGTAATCCACAAACCCCACTCGCTAATGTTCCTCGGCGCAAAATTCCTCGCTTAATCTCAACTTCACCTATCAAACTTTTCAGAATTTATACATATGTATATATCTCCATCATATTTCATTCTCCAAATGGAATTCGAAATCTCGTATACTGATTACCAAGTCATCGATGTGATGCTCCTTCCGCATGACCTACAGGCTTTTTGTTTCCTTCTGTTTCTTGTAGTTAATTTATGCTAGGCCTGTAAGAGGGTCTATCTTGACTGCTTGCATGTCACAAAACTTCAGTGAAATTAGTCACCACCGGTGGGGACCACGGAAAAATTTGTCAGAATAATAACTACATCATATGTTCATGTGTCCATAAGTAATGTTGACTGTGAATTCTTAGCGGGTGCTTGGATCCAGGGTTGCTGCTACATTAGTTAACCTCGGCTAGTAGTAATGGCAGCTAAATACTAACGAATGCTAGGCAAGTAAAGTGACATCACAACAACAGTTAACAAGAAAGTAAAGCAGTGTAGATAAATTGAAGTTGGGAATGCATGTTACGACTGCGTTCGCAGCCCAGAGCCGAACACCAAACTACTGAGTAGTTTTATTTTCGTGATCGCACAACTGTTTTTATCTTTATTTTTAGGAAACCGATAGACCCTCTTTACTTGCATATCTAACTGCAAATTGCGACGAAATTTTCCAGCATCATCCTTTGATAGCATATACAGAAGACGAGGCTGTATTCAGCGATTTCAAACTCCCATTCTATCCTATCCTCACTTATAGGATAGATATGATAGTTTTAATTTGAAGGATAAACAGGATGGATTAAATGATATTTTTTGGAGAATATAGTAGGATTTATAAATATCAGGATAAGATGAGAAAAATGAGGATAATGGATTTCAATTAATTATTTTCACTTGAAGTCTGAAATTATTTTAATTATAAAAATTAATCTTAATTCACTTTAGAAAATGTAATAATAATAAAAATCCTTTCTGATATGATTTCTATTATATTCTTCCTTTTCAAGAATAAATAGAATAGGATATTTAGAGAATTTATAGGATATAGGGCCTCCATTCCAAAGGTTAGAATAGAATAGAAGAGAATAAGGATGGGAGTTTGAATACGCTGACTGTATTCACCAAAAGGACCAGAGATGTTTCCTTTAGAATCTTTTCTCCCGAAGTGATGAAGTCCTTTGCAGCAGACTTGACCTGATTCCACTTTTCTTTGTCAAAGCTCATTTAATAGAAAAAGTAAGATATAGTTGAGGTTACTGAGGTAGTCTCTTCAATCTGGAATTTGACGTTGAAATGGGTCACTTTGATGACTTTGAGTTGAGAGGTTCCAATTTAGCAACCATGCCACAAGACAGCTGCAGAAATAAGGAAGATCGAACTAACCTGGTGTGAATGTTCTTTTGGCAGCATCATAGTTGTATTTGTCATTTGTGGATAGGTATCAATGTACCGGAGATTTGGCCGATTCCATAAGTAGAATCGCTGATTTCAACACGAATGAAAATTCTTCGGGAAGGGAACCGTTGGCGATGTAATGAGACTTCAGCTCTTCACAGACTCTTCCATATACATCTTCATCCAGTGTTGGACCAAGAGGTTTATCAATATTGTGTACGATACCTCGCGGGGCCCTGCGCATAACAGTCACTATTAGAGATGTCTGAGAGATGAGTATTTTTGTTCAGGGTTTTATTACCAGGTGTACCCATTGCCTCTGAACTTATGGATCACTTTGATGCGATAAATTGTTCCCCGAACATTTGAGGCTACCGCACTATCTGCGGGGAGTTCCTTTTTCCCCAGACGGCCATGAACTTGACCCTCAGTCTTTCCAGCCTCGAAGGCAAACCAAGTTTCGACGTCAGCTTTGATCGATTCCAAATTCTCCTTATCCAAATTCGACATAAGCGGGACATAGTAGATATAGAGAAGGTTCGGCGTTCCATAGTCACGGATGACTTGGGTCGGTTTTTTGTTATTAGCAACATACTCTGACATGTCGACAATTTAGTGACCACCGAAAAGTACTAATTTGGCAGATGTGGTCCAATCAAAGCGAGTGAGAATTTTTTTTGGAAATAAAGGCTAAAGACTGGTCGTTTATACGACAATGAAATTTTTGATGGTAAATAGTGAGAGAGAGTGTAGTAAAGATACAAGTTATAAGTTTTCAGCTTTACAACCCTCAGGTTCTACCTCAGCAGGTTGCAAACTAAGAGTCCACTCCATCTCCTCCATCTCCTCTCCTCTATCTCGTTTCGTCTCCCTTCGCTGCGTAGATATAAACCTAGTATAAACCTAACATAATAATGATAATAAATATGATATATCTATTCGCATTAATGCTACAAGCATACCTGCCTAGGTACCCGAGACTAGGTGCATGAGCCAGCTCGCCAGGCACGAACCCACGGGTCCGGGGTGCAGATGGAGCCGAGGCATCGCGTGCACGCACATCTCCGCATTTTGGAGCTGGAGCGCAGTGGGATTTCTCGATTTGCGGGTTGTGAGATTGTCTTGCTTATGTATTTATTGATTTGTATATTTCCTCACTTATTTATCTATTTTTCATTTTTCTTCTTTTACTTTCCACGTTTCATGTTTCATGCCAGAATTGAATTGAATATCGATTGTACATAAGCAAAATTTCCAATCTAGAATCTTGCGATTCAATCACCCGTTCCAATTTTCCATACACACGCCTACTTCCGATTTCAAACTTCTCTTATCATCTGCAGCACAGCATCACAATGACGTCGATGCAGAATCCCGAGATAATTTTATTTCATTATCGATTTTCGCCATTTGCGAAGAGGTATATGTTATCTATTATTTATCCATCTATCTCTATCATCTTCCCATCCCATCCCATCCCACCCCATCCATTCAAACCGCATTTCCTAACCCCCCAAAGAATAACATGGTACCTCACTCTCCGCGGGATCCCCTATTCAGAATGTCTCCAAGGCCCCACCATGCCACGACCCGACATCCAAGCTCTCGGAACCCAATATCGACGTATTCCTATTGTATCGATTGGTCGTGACATCTACCACGACACGCGATTGATATTGCGCAAGTTGGAGGAATTGTTTCCCGATTACCCGAAAATCTCAGGGGCGTCTACGGAGCAGGTGGGGATAGAGAAGTTGTTGGAGATATGGACTGTAGATGGGCTGTTTGTGCGCGCGGCGCAACTGTTACCGTTGGATTTACCGCTGTTGGGGGACAAGAAATTTACGAGTGATCGGGAAGATTATACGGGGAAGAGTTGGGAGAGGGGAAATTTGGAAAAGGCGAGACCGGAAGCGTTGGCGGCGTTCAAGGGGGCGTTTGAGGTTTTGGAGAATGGGCTTTTGGGGGATGGGAGGGACTGGATTTTGGGGAGTGAGAGGCCTACGTTGGCGGATATTGAAGGTACGTCGGGTGATGACGATGAGGGGGGGAGATGAGAAATGAGACATGATACTCACTCTGAGTTTAGCCGTCTGGCCTTTCCACTGGTTGATCAACTTACCTGGTGCCTTACCCGCACACTACATTTCCGCGCGACAATTTCCCCAAACCTTTGCATGGATCTCCCGATTCGACCAAGCCACTCGACTCGCCGCGAAGAAACTCCCCAGGCCCAAAGTTCTCTCGGGGGCAGAAGTACTTGGAAAAGTCACCGCGTCTGATTTCGGAGAGAAAGGTGAACATGTCGATTCGCAGGATCCGACGGGACTGCAAAAGGGACAGGAGGTGGAAGTTTGGCCAATTGACACGGGGATGAGTAGGAGAGATCGGGGGGTTTTGGTGGGACTTTCCACAAAGGAAATTGTGATTGAGTCACAGACGAAGGAGGGGGTGAAGGTGAAGATTCATACTCCCAGGCATGGGTTTAGGATTCGGGGGGTGGGAGGGACGGGGTCGAGACTTTGAGTTTTTCCGCTGTTTTCCTCTCGTGGCGATGGGATTGCGAGATGGGGGTTGGACTTGAAGATGGCGAATAGGATTGGATGGTGATTTGGGGAGGGGAAGTGTATTATTACTTAGTGTACTATTACTTAGTTTGTAGATACCATATTTTACCGTGTCATTAGTGAGAGAGTGAGAATGTAGAATGTAAGATACAGAATTAAGAGAATTGTCTCTATATCAGTGCATGGTACTCAAGAGCCAAGATACTCAATACACCGTGTAACCCACATCAACAGACTCGATGATTAGGTAATCCTTTCTGATCAACTTACTAAATAGGAAGGTCTAATTAATAACATGAATAAGAAGAGAAGATCGAAATTCGTGATTGGCAGGATCAATGATACAAAATGCTTGATAAATAGTCTGTCTACCTTGGGATCATTATTTTTCTCGCATGATTACGTGATTGGTTGGTCGGAGATAGTGATAAACCAACGGTTTGGGTGTAGATGTCATACCAACATATTCAGTTGTACGTTGTGGGAAGGAAGCACGTGATGAGAAGACAAGGACCTAGGTAGATTTGGTATGATTGATGGGTTACCGTAATGAGGAGGAGTGAACTTGTACTTTGCCACATTGTTGTTACCGAGGAAGAAGAAGAAGAAGAAGAAGAAGAAAAGGTGTGACTTTAAAGTGTAGAGGGGATTGGTGCGATTAGCTACGGAGTGTGAAGGATCTGGCTGGACTTCTTTCTTATCTAGGGAGGTGGATCTGGATTGAAGTGTTGGGCGATGATGGACAGGTTTGCATTGAATTGAATTGTTTAGGTAGGTGGTCCTTATCTTGTGTGTGTATTTCTATCCGTGCTTCTAGAAGATGTTACCAAGTGAGTGACCCAAAGAGATAGGAAAGGGAAGATAAAATGGTATAGATGGATGGTTTCTATCATGAACATCACACCATTTGGCATTTGACATTTGACATTTATTAATCTCCGTCGTCAGTCATCAGTCTCATCAGTCAGCGCACGTGGATGGAATTCCTCGAATGTCTATGCAAGTAAAATGATCTCTCCTTGAAATCTCTTGGCAAATTGACTCGAGATTTCCAGGGAGTTGATTGGCTCATCCATTCATTGCCTTAGTCATTAGTCATTAGTCATTCACACCATTCACACCATTCACACCATTTTCATCTTTTCCTCCTTGATGAGAAGGAGATCAAGGAGATGATTTCAAATGTAAGAGGAATAGCGTCAATGGATAGCACATGAATAGAGTGGAGAATCATCCGAAATGAAAATATCTGATTGGTTCTGCCACTCAACCACGCTAATGTGAACGCACTCTCATCCCCAAATAAATCAAAGAGTTCACACATCAAGCGTCATCATCATCTTTCGTCATCGTTGGTTCCCTCTTCTTCCTGCAACTTTCTTACCACATCATCGTATCTGTACCGTATCGTACCGTACCGTATCGTACGTGTCGTATCGTATCCTTTTCCACCGTCACGACAAACACCAAGAGAAGAAGAAGTCGAATGAATAATTTAAGCCTCGACTCGAATAACCCAATTTCATAACTTTATTTTCCCAACAGAGCCTCATCAAGAATTGATTCATTAATTCATTCACAGGAGGAAATATCAATTTATTGATTCAATTGTTACTTTTTCTCCATTTGTCTGTCTTTTGGATTAAGGAAGAAGAGAGGAGAAGGTATCTCTGTGTGGATTTCGTATTTGATTTTGAGTTTTCATTTGAATGCTTTGTTAAGAAAGAGAGAAGAGAGAAGAGAGAGAAGAGAGAAGAGAAAAGAGAGAAGAGAGAAGAGAAAAGAGAGAAAAGCAAAGAGTGAAAAGAGAAGAAAGGGAAAAACGGGTAAAAATAGCAGAGGGAAAGACTTCCTTTTTGAACAACAATAAACCCACCCACCGGTCGCAAATTTAAATTTCATCACTTTTTTTTTTTTCGCAATCCAAATCCATCCATTTCTTCTCCCCCCAAAACGTTACGTCACCGCTACATCCATCCATCCATTCACTCACTCAACCATCGAAACCTTCGAACCTTTGAACATTTGGGAACTCGGAAGAAATCCAAAGTCAAATTCCAAAGAGTAATAACAAATCTTGGAAAGTTTCTTTTCTCCCCCCGCCCGTGTTTCTATATTCGAATATCGATCTTAATAAGATAAGGTATCAGAGGTATCTCTTACCAAAAGATACACTGACATCATATTCATTCATCCATCCATCCATCCATCCATTCATCCTGTTGCTGTGAATGATTCATCCATCAACGAATCCACACAATTCAAGACGATCGAATCGAGATAACCTCAAGTCAGGTCGAGTCGCGAAAGAGAAAAAACACATACACACAGACGGACAGCAAAACAAATAGTAATCGCGCAACACGACGAAACAGAATACTTACCAATACAATACAATACAAGACGATACAACACGCCCACACACACACACACACACGCACACACAACCTCATACACGTCGCCACCAAAAATCATCCATATTATTGAGGATTCTTTTCGAAAATTGAGACATCAATCAAGTAAAGAAGAACAACAACAACAACAACAACAACAACAATAACGCGACTAATAAGGGTTGAAATTTGAGACTGTCTTCTCTCTTAACAACTTTACATCAAGGAATAAATCTACCCGCCACCAAGATACATAACAACCCGATCCAACATCAAACACCACATAACCCACACTCCCACACTACTGCGAACGCCAAATATTACCAATTCATCCTATAGGCGGACGACGCATTCACTATTTACACTCTCCAGCACTTTAAATAGTCCACCCACCTTCGTCATTATATCGTCATCATCGTGTAAACTGCAACACGATACGATTAACGACATTTGTTGTCCAGCCTCTTTTGATAATTCTCAATCTCAACGGCATCAAGGTTCATCTCTATTACGTCGTCGTTCAATATCTTTGACTTTTTTTCTTTTCCTTACTAGTCATCCTCTTTCCTACATTTCATCATCATGCCGACCTTTTCCAAGATCGGCAGTAGTCCTGTAGAGGAGAAATTTTTACCACCAGGCAAGTATTCATTCAATTCGACCCATCCCGAGTCATCACATCGAGTCTTGCTTTTGACTTGATTCCTTTCCACTATCATTGATTGATCCAATTAAATTCATCTGATACATTTGATACTTCTCATCCATCTCCTCCATCTGAAACAATGATATGCTATACATAGGTGTAACGAGGTAACTAACATTCACTCTCTTCCACAGTCGCCGATTCAACAGTACCAGATATCACCGTGAAGCCAGTTCAGTTAGATGTCGGTCGACAACTTCCAAATATACCTGTACCTCCACAAAACAACATTACCGATTACCTCTCAAAGCGAGCGTTGGCAAACAATTCACACGAAGAGGAAGAAAATCCTTTCGACTCACAATTTGGAGGTGGTCCGGTGAAATCAAATCTACCGGCCAAAACTCCTGGCGGTACCTTGTTACCTTCTATTCAAGCTCTACAATCAGCATCTTCACCTGGGTTTGGCTTGAGTGGATTGAGGTCTGGTCCATTGAGTCCTAACATGCTCACCGGTCCTAAAGAACCTGCCGAAGATTACTTCTCCGCAGATCACAATTTGATTAGTGATGGTCCCAGAGGTTACACTCCCGTCACATCTGATTTGAGGGGCATGCATTCAAGGGTGTTACCAACTCCAAGTCCTGGTGGATATAGTTTTGGAGCTGGAGCTGTTCAAACACCCGGATTGGCTGAATTTCAACGAACGGCTATTCAAGCTGCGAGTCTTGCTGCCCAACAACAGAGAGATATGAACGTCACTTCACAGCCTCAGCAACACAACGAAGATAATCATAACGTCATGAGTAACTATCCTGACAACGATTCTTTGAATGCAGCCGCAAGTCTTCAATTGTTGACTCAAACTTCTGCATCGTCACGCGACTCTTCACCACATCACAATCTCGCATTGGGTCAGTCAAGGCAACCACCATTCTCTGCACAACAACACATCTTGAATCGCAATCATCAAATGTTGAATCAAAATATGCAACCTGTTCAAACTAATGGCCAAGTCCCTGGTCGACCAAACAATCATCCGTTGACCAATGGTCATTCGGGAACAAGAAACAATTCCATTCACTCAAATTCAATGAGTCCTACAAGTAATGGTAATGGCATTCCTTATGACAATGAGATGAATGGTCAAGGTGCTCAAGGAAAGAAGAGAGCTGCCACGAAAAGGAAAGCAAGTACCAACAAAACTCCACCAAAGAATAATAAAAGGACCAAATCTCAAAAGGGTAATGATGATTCGAAAGCAGAAGAATTCACCAATGAAGATCTAGATAACATGGATGATCAACTTGAATTTGAAGAGGAAGAGAATAATAATAACAACAATAATGGGAAACCAAAGAAACCAGAAACTGAAGATGAAAAACGAAAAAGTTTTCTGGAACGAAACAGGTAGATTTCTTCTTTTCCTCACATTGTCTTTCTCACTAACCAATTTCCTAGGGTTGCTGCTCTTAAATGTAGACAGCGTAAGAAGCAATGGTTGAACAACTTACAAAGTAAAGTTGATTCGTACACCAACGAAAATGAGACTCTTCATCAGAAAGTTCAACAAATGGCTCATGAAATTATGCAACTCAAAACCATGCTTTTCGCTCATAAAGATACTCCTATTGGTATTCAACAGGGAATCGCACAATATGTGGTCCCTCCTCTCTACGATGATATGCCACCAATGCATCAATCACAGAATCCATATGGTTTAGGTACAATGCCACCATCTCAAAATCCTAACATGTAATAGATCTCTGGTCTTTACTTTTCCACTCGCAGTTATGGATTATCAAAAGGCACATGATATTCGCTTGGCTTTTCGACGTCACGAATCTACTATTCAATTACCTCTAGGTTGTAAATTAAAATACTTCTTCTTTCGATTGTACTTCTGAGATCACTTGGATCTAAAACTCATTTCGCTTTTCCTTTGGGTGACGGTAAAGCATATTGGTATGATCTCCTTCATCACCTTTTTCTTCCTTATACATATTCAACTCTTACCTCTAATATCCCATGGACTGGTTTCAAAATCCTGGGCCGAATTCTTTTTCCAAAAAATTCATGATTACAATGGAAACAAACTCATGCATGGTGGGGGGCGTATATCCATGCAAAAGGCGCTATGAGGGGGTGGAGGGTTTTGATATGGTCACCATATTTGATGGTTTGACAAAAGTACACGCATACATGACGAAGAATGGGAAGATTCTGAGTTCATGGTTGGGAGGCGCAGAAGGATTTTGGGAAATGCGGTGTTTTTGGAATGATTTTTGTTGGCTCCTCTTTCTCTTTTTTGATTGAAAGGAAGGAGTCTGTTTTTGTTTCATCTTCTTTTCTTGGTCTCCTGGAAATGAAATGAAATGAATGGGATGAAATGGGATAGGGTGAATAGGGCGTTGAAGGAAAATGAAATTTGGGCACATGGTGTTGGAGGGAGGGAAGGAGGTGATTTGATAGTAGTTGGTGTTTTTTCTTTTCTTTTCCTTGGACCCACAGATACAGAGGGAGAGGGGAAGAGAGAGAGAGAGTACAGAAATTGAAATGTTGATTAAATTTAAGTGATCTTTAGATATTTGTTTGGGTTTTGTGATTTGTGATTTGTGATTTTCTGGGAAGTAGATGGATGATGGGTTTTGTGACTTTGAATCTGTGAAGTATCAAGGATTCATTTTATATTCAGATTGTGATACTGTTTTGATTAATACGAATAGATTTTGAGATTCTACTCTGTACTAATTACATCTGGTTTGTCATAATAAAAGATACCTACTGCTCCACAAGTGTGCACCGTCTTTGCTGGATTTCTACTGCATTAAAATGTCTACCCTATGTTTGTAGGTGACAGGGTAATAGATGGATTTGAGTTTTTGTGGTGTGTATGTAGTAGATAGGTTGATAGGTAGGTAGGTTGATAGGTAGGTAGATTGATAGGTAGGTAGGTACTTATTTATAAACTCTCCGATTTCTCTATTTCTCTCTTGGAGGGGAGAAGAAGGAGGATGGATGGATGGATGGATGGATGTGGATGTGGGTGGATTGGTTAGTTGATGATTTGTGTGTAGAAGAGAAAGAGGGGGAGAGAGGGAGAGAGGGAGAGAGGGAGAGAGGGAGAGAGGGAGAGGGGGAGAGAGGGAGAGTTGTAAGGAACATTAGTGGGTGCACCGATCGATTCACAGGCCATTCAAAGAAGAAAGCATCATTTCACACCATTACTTGTCGATTTTCACATTCATTTCAAATTTCATCATGTGTTGAATAGTATTCGCATTTATGTTATGAGTTGATTCAAGATTGAAATATAGTATGTTCTGAAGAAAAAGACTCGGAAATTCGAGATTTGAGCTCCAACATCCTGCCTGATATTATCTCTTCTCATTGAAATGTTTGAGTGGGAAATTGGATAATTCGATTATAAACGCTTCAACTTTCGAAAAAATTAAATTGAAATAATAATTAAATTTTTGGGATTTTTGAATCTTTGTGTTATGTCATATTCTAATCCTTGTTGATCATGTGTTCCCATGTCGAAGGAATTCATTTGCATTTTGAATTATTATGAAATTATCACAATCGTCTTTTTGGGGTGTGTGTGAAATTGTGCGTGACTTACAAGCTGTCTCGTGAGTTCGTGCACTCACTGGTGGAGGTGGGTAGTAGGTTGCTTGGCTCAGTTGATGATTATTAGTAATTGAGTGTTTACGCGAGAGAGAGGCTGTGGATTGTGAGGATGTGGGTTGGTAGTTTGGGAAATTGGGGGCTGGTGATTGGGCATTTCAGCGAGAGGAGGTAGCGTTGGGGGAGGGCGGTGAAATAGGTTGGGAGAGTGCTTGGGGAGTATTTGAGGGGGGTTTGGATGAGTGGGGGTTTGTGATGATGTGGTGGGAAAGATTTGATGGGATGGGATATGATGGGATATAATGGGAAAGATTGTATATAGGAAAAGAAGAAAGGAATAAAACGGGTGGTTGATAGTGAGGGTGGATGATAAGGAGTGATGAAATAGCAAGGGTGAGAGATAGTAAGGAGGGGTGAAGTAATGAAGTAGTTTGATAGGAGAGGAAAGTTGAGGAGGAGATTGATTGTTGAGTTGGATTGGATTGGATTGTGAGAGGGAGAGGGACGGGGACTGGGATTAAAATTGAATTTGAGTGGAATAAAATGAAATAAAATGGAAAGGGAGAGAGAAAAGAGTGAAAATCAAGAAATTGAGATGTTTGGAAAGAGAAAAAGACGGAAGAAGATTTGCTAAAGAGTAAGAGGAAGGTTGATGATAGGAAGGGTAGGTTGGAGTGTAATAAGTGTGACGAATGTCACATGACACTGTGATTACTCATCACGTTTACCTCAGTTCAAGACTAGCTTGAACTGAGCGATTGTTATTATACAAGAGATAGAAAGGTCCCTTTAGGATCTCTTTCCTTTTTAGCTTTCTTATTCTAGTTGTTTGACCTCTATTGATATGCTCTAGTTTGCGATCGTAACAGAAGCTATTCAGAGATCTATGATTTGAAACAAGTCAGAAATCAGATTGTAGATACAGACTTTCAATACTTGACCAAACTATTCGAGAAATTTATTCAACGAACTACAATATGTCATTTGATAGGTTACTCTATTACAAATTGAAGGTATCAAAAATTACAAGGATTGAATAGTTTTAATTAACGTTGTAAACTATGAAGAGAACAGTCAAGCTATAAAGAGAAGCTATATTCACGTTCTTCTTCTTAGTCTTTAATTATGTATCTCCCTGAAAATCAACGAGTTTTTACGAAAACTTCCAATTTTTCTAAGTAAACTCGGTTATCTCCATCTCTTAGAGTATGAATATATTCATAGTCTGCTTGTTAAAAACACTGATACTAATAGTTCAGCTTAGTATTTAAGAACTAATGAAATCTTAGAGATGAGAAGTAATAGTAAATAGAAGGATTGAAATCGAGACTTTACTTTATTCTTATAAAATAGAACTTGAAGACTGTTATCACGGTGTGCGGGATAGGTGGTAGGTGTAGGGTTAGATATACGATCATCTAGAAAGAGAGTAAGAAAGGCTTCCTGGAAGTATGCTATATAAGGGCACTGATGACTAAGCATCTAAAACTAACTACGCTAGTGAGCCCGTGACAACTGTTGAATTAGAAAGTTGACGAGTATTGAATGATTTACAAATCATTAGAAGAAACTAAAAACATTAGTAATAGCTAATGTTTAATGATAAATTAGATATTTAAGATAGCTAGAATATCTGTTATTAGGAGTCTAATTAATAGAAACTCGAATAACATTTCTTAACTTGATATCTTAAGAATCTTAAGTATTTGATAATGAAATATTTACATGTGACTAAATGTATATAACTAGTTTGATATTTATAATTAGTTGAAAGTTTATAAGCAACCTAAATACTTATACGTACTTGAATACACATACTGGGTTGAATGTTTATAATTAGTTGAATATCTACAATTAGTGAAATGATTATCACTTGAATACTTATAAGTATTTGAATGTTCATAATGAGTTGGATCTTTATAATTAGTTGAATATTAAAATGACCAATCAAACATTTATAGATAATTGGACATTTACGACTTGTCAATCATTTATAGGAACTTGAATCTTCAAGATAGCTTGAATGCTTAGACTCAACGATACATTCTAAGCGACTCGGACAATCAAAGCAGTTCAAGTATACAACGTATCTAAAATTCTATATTGATTCTAGTATTCAAAATGACTCTAGACAATCAGATCATTTGAATGTGCAAGTGCTTTCAAGTAACTCAATGGCTCTTAACAATCTTAAGAAGTCAAAAACGAAGATAGGAAAGAACTATGATCGTTATTTACAGGTATGTAAGGAATTCTTCGAACGCTTTTCAATGCTTTTCTCTCTTTGCACCAAAGTGATCAAATTTTCAATTCAATTCAATCCACTTCAAAGTTCAAATCCCGGTTCAGTTCAATTCAATTCAACTCAATTCCAAATTCAAAGTTCAAATCAAAATCCAACAATCAAAATCCAATTCATGTAGATAATTACGGTCATTTGGCACTGGTTCTACCACGAAGTTCGCGGGTGGATTACTTAATGCACGCACATCCATTCTGCAGGTCCGAATTTTTCCATATCTCGTCACCAATAAAGACCAAGCCAGTATCTACTTCCCACTATGATGTAATCAGACACTCGAACTTGCTTTATTGTTACACTAGTTATGATACAGAAATCGGCTAATATTGAACTCCCAAGTTTGCTCTTAATCTGAAAAACCTCCAGACCATAATTCAAAAAGATGATCGACAGTTCGCTTATTCCCCGACCAGGAATCTAGTCACAGTCCGTCGCAAAACTTAGGTCTACGCCATTCGCGGGACGAATTTTACCACACATTCTCGCATTTTCGAAATTATCTATAAAATCCGCAAGCTCATACTTTGCACAACTTTGTAGATCTTAATTTCTCGACAACAATTAGGATCATTAAATTTACTTTGCCATTGAATTTGGAGGAACGGTTACTACTTCTGGGACTCCTAGTTGAAAACATTCAAACACGACCAAATTTTTTTGACTATAAAAGCCCAATCATCCTCCAATCAAGAAGAAAACAGGCGAGCAATGTTTATCGATTGGTTTATCCCGACTGCTCTCATGACCTCCATGCTCGTCATGTTCTTGGCTGGCTGGGCGGGCGCTCAAGAATTTGGACACGCGAAACAAGACCGTCAAATGCGCGCCCGAGTCCTCAACGAAATATTAGAAGCTCCTCCAGAGAAGCGCACAGAGAGAATCCTCGAATTATGTTTTTTCGTCATTGCGGATAATGAGAGTACGCGGTGTCAATTGGAAAACAATGTGCTTCCGGAAGTGTATGAGCATCTTGAGAAGCAAATGCGGAGGAATGAGATGGATGGTGGGAGGTTCTGGGATGTTTTGGGCGTAGGGAAGTGGATGGGGTATGAGAAGCAAATTTCGAGGGTTCAGGGGCGGATTGAGGAATTCAAAGAGAGGAAGAGGGAAGAGAAGGGCTTGGAGGGAGGAATTTCGAAGGATACACAGGAATCGGGGAAAGAGGGAGCGGGATGTGAGGATCTTGAGAGGGGAGTTTGAATGAGGAGGTTTTGGGTTAGATTTGTATGGGAATATCGAAAGTAACATATTGAATACGTTTCCTTTAAAGGTTAGTATTCAACATATTACACAAGTCATTCTGCAGTATGGAATTTTTATAAAGAGGGCTCAATAGTTGAGAGTTTTTATCTTCTCACACTAGATAATTCGATTTCCACCTGTTATCACCACGTGACTTATATTTCTTGCAAACAGAGCTCCGCATACCCTTTAGCTATGTAAATATCATAAAAGACACTCTTTCCGTTTTTGGAATTCATTCCATTCAGCCATACTGGGAATCTTGCAGCTGGAAACGATCAAGAAGTTCCTCTTGTCCCTAGACATGATATCTATTTATGATTATTTTCGGAGATGCGTTTTCTGGCTTGTTGGTCGAGAAAAAGTACTAAAGGGCAGTATACAAGCGGAGGTGTTGCTGAGAAGTTTTGATTAACTTACCTTGATCAGATTCCTTAGGCTCATGCTTCATTTCATGATCTCGCTTAGCGAGTCATATTAGTGGGGCTGCTCTCTAGATAGAGAGATCGAGACCTGGCAAGACATGTAAATAGGTATTCTATCACAACAGTTCTAGGTGAAAGTCTCAGAGTACGAGTACAAAATTCTGAAAAGGTTCTTTCTTTCATTAATTTGGACAAGGTTGTTAAACTAAGATGGATAGGTCTCAAATCTCGCTGGGTTCAATCTTCTCATCACGAACATGCCATCGCTGTAAATGGACATTTTAACTATGAGAAACCATTGGCGAATGGATATGGAACCGGTTTTATATGACAATAGATATGTATCGTTGAGGAAGTGCTTCTCAGAAAGGGCGGTCTCTAGACTCACCGCTCTCGGAGTGACTTGCAAAAGTACTAGATGATCATCATCTCAAAAATCTCTCTTCACCACGCGCAGGATTACCTTGCTGTTCGCGTGAGCAATCCATCCAATCTGAAGTTTATGGAATTGATTTCGCTTTTGGTTATCTGTATTTCCGAGTCTTTGGCTAGAATTCATTCTCCTGGCAACTTTATCGAATTTCTAATAAAGGCAATGCTCAGTTCTATCGCAATTCAGTATATAAATGGAACGCTCAATCGAATTGCCATAAATGGTGCCGAATATCTTTCCTTAACGAGGAATACTCTTTCCAACGCAGATATATATCCATATGAATACGGTAATGAAAATCCAGAGTACTCGCAAATCCCAATAAACTCGATGATCATTGTTCTCTAAACAATCATAACCCAGCCCGCAACATTGAAGTTCTTGAAAATGAATTCGCAAAACTGCTTTCACTCGTAGCAGATCAAAATCTGACAATCACCCAATATCAAATCTCTACCCAACATTCTTCACCAAAGAACTCAACAATCAACTCATGACTGCCATTCAGCACTCTTCGCTGCCATCACCACCTTCAAATCCATTTCTCAATCCGCTTTCCTCAGACTTTGCAGCTTTTAGTGCATTGAATCCTTCCCACTGGCTGCAAGACATTGAACCCGAAGCCGACTGTGAATTTTTTGATTACATGCCTCTGACAATTTTGATTGTTGAATTCAGTGATACGGTGTTGATTGGATCTTTGTATCATTTTATGAGAGAGCGATTTTATACAAGAATGGTATATTTTGTGGATTCAGTAGATATTGAAAGATTTGATTCTATGGATGGGGATTCAGATACCATAAGGGAAGACATGCAAAAATATCTGGAGAGAGGAATGACACGAAGGTTAGTAGATTTAATTGATGATCATAAAGCCGAATATTGGTTCTCGGATATATTCAAGTTGGACCCGTTAAATATTGTTATCATGGAAAATCGCGCGTCAGATCCAATTTTCCAAAAGGCTGTGGGCGTAGCGATAACTGATGTATTGGATGGAGAGTGGAAAATGGCAACGGAAGGAAAAGAAAAAAAGAGATATTATGGGGAAGAGACAGAAAGATTTGAATCTGGAAGATGAGAATATGGTATACGTTTCATCATTCGGCGCGGCGATAGTGGCTAGGAGAAGGATCAATGAGCCGGAACCACTCATATGTAATGCTGAGGGGCGCAAGTGTATGGAGACGAGAGATAGGATCTTTAGGGGGGTACTCATTGAGGGAAAGAAAAAGTCAAAAGGTATTAGAGAGAGAGACGAGCTTTAATTTAGGAGTCTATCTACTGTTGAAGTTTGTGCTAGGTATCTGAACAGCATCATGTAGGCGGATACTTAACGAACTTAGATACTTGAAATCATTACATTCTTATCGCGACTGCCGGAACACAACCAGGCGATATATTAGACAATTTAACAGTTGAGAAATCGAACTCATTCATACTGTTCCTCCCTATCAACTTAATTCCTTGAAAACATACCCATCTCGTAATTCTCCCATCAAAGCCCTTTTTCAAGATTACCATTTCCCACCATCTTTGCTCTCGATGACTAAATTCCTTTCTTGTAGTCCTCAATACGCTTCTGAACCCTCACAATCTCTTTCTCAAATCCCATTGGACACTCCACTGTTGGTATGTTCCAGCTCTCTTTAATTGCCAATGGAATCATACGTGGAATCATACGTCGACGATTTGGATTAACTTTAAGCTGCACCTGTAACATCTATCAAGTTCGTATGTGGTCAATGTCGGAACTATTCGCTTCTTTGAATAGTTTTTGTAACACCAATTCGTTGTTCGAGATGTTTGAGAATCTCGGGAAGGACTTCCTCAGGTACCTCGGTCATCTTATCAGAAAGTACAAAGAAGAAGAGATCCAAGATTCTCTCAAATCGTTTCTCTGGAAACATCCGCAATAGTTGTAACAGTAGCCTTCCTCGCATTCGACTTTCATCCCCTGTATAGCCGTCACAGCCATAGTGTGAGCACAAAAACCATCCAGGCGCAAGTGCCGAAACGTAGGCGAATTATTCGAAGACTGGAATAATCTTGTCGAGACGCATTTTGAATCCCTTTTCTGATCAATTTGAAACCTACATTCGACAATTAGTATGTTCGATTCATTCAAACTTGGAGTCATGAGACTCAGTACAATACCTTCAAAATTGTAGCAAATTCGAAAACAGTAATTGTTTGCTGATGAATGAGACTGTGAAACAATTCATGAAGAGAAATTTTGATGTATTCATAATAATTTCCAAGTTTGTGGGACACCTTGGATCGTGGATAGCGTGGACCTAAACTCTACGACGGACTCAAGCTAGTATTCTAGCACGAACAGATGGATCGTACTGATTGACATGTGTACATTGTCGTGTTTCAAGGGAATTTTGAATCGAATGTAAGCTTTACGATAAAGGATCGTTTAACTCTGGTACTCTCACACAAGTTTTTTTAGGCCTGAAGTTTGTCATTTTTGCTCACCTTGATAATATACACGTTCTGGCCACTTCTACGGAGTCGAAATGCAAAAAATTTCAAACAATTTCTTTATTGGAAGTATCAGGATACAGCATCGAGCAAGCCAAGGTATGAAGCATCGTGAATGACGTGGAGAATCTAAAGTATCATCTGGTGTATTGAGAGTTCGATGAATTTTGTGTTCTGAAAGTACTAAGACTGAGTGCAGACAACCGGATTCGTACCATGAGGTACATTTGAGGTCACTATCTAAGTGTTAGCCAGAAGAAAAAAAGAATAACAGTATTCGAACAGTTGAAACAAAAATTCCTCAATCTAATTGCATTTCTTTTTCCGCTTATTCTTCAAACAACCTAATATTGTAATATTCAGATTGCTTGCTCGTGTGTTTGAATGGGAGGGACATCGGGCTCGGCAGTATCATTGAACATATAATTCATCTGGATGTTCGATTTGTATGAAAGCCTAGCTGGAAATCGATGAATTGGTTTCCAACAGTCCAAATTGAAAAACCGAAAGCTCGATTATGGCATAATGCTGTTCTGGCTAGTGGTCTGGCTGTCTGAAAGACACAATTCTAGTGCCATGTAGACAGAAGGGTGCATCTGAACGAACGATATATTCCAGTGCTATAGAATCAAAGCCATAGATAGTGCCTGAAAAGAGAAAGTCTCTTGAAGAGGAGAAACTTGCAAATCCTCAAACTTTTAGTCGCAGCTGACATCTATATGAGGATCGAAATTTGACTTGCGAGTCTCCAGTTGCCGAATGACAGATAAGCTCACAGCTCTGAGTTTGAAGCTCTCTCAAATAATTACCATTTTTGAATTGGCGCTTATCTCAAGATGGCGTAGTATTTGAGAGGTTGTTCAACGATTTTAAATGATCGTTCCTCAACGTTCACCGATGATTCGAGAGAAAAACATACGTGCCGCCTTTTTTGCTGTTGAGTGTTAAAGGTTGCCAATGGATAGAGTTTATCAACGAACATGCTGACGGAGAAGCGCCTCTCAATGCCTGCCGTTTTAAGTCGTGTTTCAATAACGCGTTCAAAAATCTACCATAACAAGTGGTACTGTAATGAAGAAAGTATCTCCCTCGTAACGAGGCTTCGATATCTAAGTTTCCCAACAATTAGAATCTTCCCATGAAATTTCCGATGCGATAGTGATCCAAAATTAGCCAACGAGCGGTCCGATAATGAGGTGAGCAATGTAGAAATGTCTTCAGTGTTTTTTTTTAGCGTACTCTGCAGCAATGAAGTGAGTGTTCCAAGTTCACATCATTCAGACAAAGGAGTGTTCCAAAGAAAGTTTTCCACTCCGATCGGGAGAGTGTTCCGATTTTATCACAGATTTATTATAAGTGAATATTCCAAATTCCACAACTTTTCATAAATAGAATGTTGAGTTTCCAAATCCATAGCATTTTAATGCAAAGATTGTTCCAATCCCACATCTTTTCTTTTGGAGATCCTCCTTCTATGCATGAAGCATTTTAACAAAGAGAAGGTCAAATTCCAATTCCATGTCATCTCGAAGTAGAGATGATGAAATGAAGCGTACTGTAGTTTCACAATTCTCTGACGAAAAGTGTGCATTCAACGTGTAGATTGTTAGGGTGAAGTATTTGGCGCAATTCCGTAATATCTGGATGCAAAAAGTATTGCAATGAAGTCAGTCTTCGATGCGATTCAGCATTCCGGCTTCGATAACCCAATCTTTCAGCAGGAAGAGAGCTCGGTGTGCGAGACACTCTGTGAGAAATAGTGCGTTCTTGCAGAGAGATATCTTGATCATATCGGGTAGTTTGATGATAAATCTATTGGTAAAATGTGCCATGAAGATGAGGTGTCAAATACAAAAGACTGCGTATGCAACAAAAGCAGATGCGAGACAACCAGCACGGCAGCCGAAATAGTTTGGTATCAAATCGATTTCTGTGGATGACGATTCTCCAAAGTCTATCAAACAAAGACTAGGTATAGACTGTGAAACTCTAAGTTTGAACTCTCAGCTGACAGGAATAGTCATGACTGTAAAACTCTGATTTAATGGCTTCAGAGTGAGGGAGTGATATGTTATAATTGCGCAAGATCGTCAACAAGAGTGTTGGGTATTTCAGTCTTAGTTCGGTCATTGAGATGACAACTCAAATAGACCAGTCGTCTCAGGCTTGATTACCGGCTCTGATAATATCCTGATGATGACTAAGTAGTCTCGGAAGTAGCTTTATATTAATTTTGAGCTTTTGGTTTTGAATCTTGACATCAAGATGGAGCTTCTCACGGAATCAACAATTCAGAATGTTGAAAAATTGACCCAGAGACTGATGGAATGCTGAAAGAGCAATCCAAGCAAGCTATTCATAGCAAAGCTTTGAATTCGAACGCTGAGATATGATTGATGTTGTATCTTGCGTTTCTGGAAATCAATGCGAAGCTTCTGCTGATAGCATCTGGTTGAGATAAATATTGAGGAGAACCTTTGATAGAGCGGGTTTCGAATAAATAGAGTTTTCGAAAGTGAATATGTCTGGATGATGATAACATCCGAAGGAAGGACATCTGAGTGATGATGATATCCAGGGTAAAGTCTCCTACCAGCGGAATTCTTGGATAATTTATTGCAAGGGTATTCAAATAGCATAGATCAATGCTGAAGTAATTGGTAGGAGGTAATCTGACCGTCTTTGAGTTCCCATGCAGCTAATGGGTCGATCAGATCTGAGTTCATTTGTTCTTCGCGTTCGCAAGGAGATTCCCAGCTCGAACTTATGGAAAGTCTAGTGACGATCGACAATCCTGGGGTGTCTGATGATGATTGACGGTCCCCTCGAATACTAACGCCCGACAACGACCGTGAACGTCGAACTCTGTAGGGGCTCGGGATGCGGTCCCTTGGCCGCTGGACTCGGTGCAAGCATGGTCGAGCCCAGAACAGCACCATGCGGCTGCCCCAGGGTGCGACCCCCGGGTTAACCCGCTCTGAGGGTTGTCGACCTACGATCTCTCGCAGATCTTTCTCGTTTCATCATCTCTCGCTTCGCTTGCGCTTCGATGGCTCGCAATCGAATTATAACAAGCGCGAGGAGACAAATATCGAAAAGTGCCAGGATCAAGGAAGCAAGTTCGCCAGGACCTTCTTTCCACTTACGATCCTCCTTCTTCTTCTCGTGATCGATATACAACATCGTTATCAAAGAGAAGCCAGCGACGACAGAATTGAATATGGCAAAGCCAAATTCCGCGGCGCGAAGACGGTAGGAGAACAGGGAAACGAGGTCCAGAACGACAAGAGCCGAGGAAAAACACTGACAGCACAGCGAAGCTGGCTGTAGGTCTGTTCCAAGGCTCCACTTACTGGTGGCCCACCAAGAGACCGAAAAAACCAATAGCTGGACAACAAGAAAAAAGACATTGGTTTTAGAATACCAAGTCTTTAGATAGTCCCTGGCATCCCGGGAACAGCGGCACTCCAACACAGCGGAGAGGAATTTCTCGGCCCGACGAACGGCCCAGGGAGTCATGGTGGGAGTAGGCGGAGGGACTGGGAGCTTATTGATTGAATTGGGAACAGGAAATTGGAAAATTGGAATTTTAAATCACTTTTTTGGTACCTCGTGTACGACAAAGAGAGAAAAAGACTGAAAAGCACTCGAAAAGTTCATTACATACCTGTAAACATTGATCATCGTTCTTTCCCAATCTTAAAGGTTGAGGGTCTTCCTGGCTTTTGTCAGACAAAAAGACCCGAACGACACCTAGATTAGTTCTTTCCTTCTCTCAAATTTCCCAAGTTGTCAAGAGCCATTGATTGAGTGGTTAAATACACCTGCGCATTTAGATTATCTGATTTTCCGGATCTACTTCGTAGTATATATATCTCAAATGTTCAAGTGCTTTTCAATGTTCAAGAGTGTGACAATGTTTAAAAGTGTATCATTGTTCGAGAATTTGTAAATATACAAGTACTTGTTAATTTTCAAGTGCTGATAAACATTTAAGCCCTTATGAATGTTTGTAAATGTCTAAGCATTTATCAATATTCAAGTGTTTATTGATATTCCATTTTTTGTAAGTATTCAGATTCTTGTTCATTGTTCAACTGATTACAAATGTTTCAGCTGTTACTCATATTTGCAATGACTTCGATTACTTGATTTTTCCTCATTGTCTGATGAATTACGGTGGGTTTAAGTAATGTCATTGAATATCCTACGATCGCGAATAGACTGAACTGACTCACATGCTTTCAATAGCGATGCCCTGTGTATTACCCTTGGAAATAGAATAATATCCTACTTTCGAAAGTTTTGATTAATACTAAATTTATTAGATAAAATAGCATAAGCCGGCCTCAAAATTTCTTACAAATAATAGAGATAATGAGAAAAAGTATATATAACCAATAATATAAGCAAGATTTGTTACATTTGATTCTTCCGAATCTAATTAATACCTTCAGTTTCCCCCTCATCTTCGCTACAACATATCAAATTATTCGAAGCTGCATGTTTGATCCATATGTATGATGATTCAAAGATCGAGGAAGATCTTTTGTTCCGAAGTTCCTTTCCCAGTCTGTCCTTACAACCTTCCTTCCACCTCTTATCCAAACCTCACTGCTTACTAGCTTACTAGTCTACTGACAACTCTGGTTACATTCACGGAACATCTCTCGATTATCTTCTTTCTGTCTCTCTATCTCCTCTCTATCGTTTCACCTCCCTTCCTTTGAGGTTTCACTTCCATACCAACACAATAGGGTCGCTAATTGACCGTCTTTTCAACCTGCTCGTCGATTTGAATTTTTGATTTCAACTGGTCAATTCAAAGGAATATCGTAGTTCAAAGTAAGCAAGCAAGATAAGGTTTATTAAATGATCGGATATTGAAAATTTCTCTTGGGGACGGAAAGAGAAAAGGAAGAGAAAAAATATTAACAAACATGATCTTATACTTCACAATCTCTTCCCTTTTTTTCCTCCTTCCATTTTATGTGATCTAGGGGTAACGGCCAATTAAAATCACTACGCTAATAATCTTGGAATTGACGAAAATCACAACCAGACGAGATTTAACTCCAATATCTCTTCACTCAGATACATGATTCTATTCTCACAATCTAAAAATCTCAATCACTGTCACTTCCAAGTTTCCCTAACCACCATCTCAGGTTCCTCTCGTTATCATTAAATCTTGTAAGATCTTACCTCAACACTCTCGCATCTGCGGCCCTCCTTCCACTGCGAGAGACCTTTCTTTCTCTCGGAACTTCAGAACCTGCAACCAAATAAACAGATGAGGCAAGCACGATCTGACTTCCCAAGAGTCTCACCATCGAATTAGATACTGAGATTTTGGTTCTCTTTAATGGGATCAGAACGAAACTTTCAACCCCTTTGGAATGCAAGATTCCACCCGCCCTTGGGTCGCAGGTCCAGTCTAATAGCATAAATGCCTAATCTGTCATAACATTCACCTGGCTAACATTTGGAAGCATTATTCCGGGTTCAACGATTCACATAGATACCGATTTGTAGTAGGCCGCCCTCATATATTTTGGTGGAGATGAGGTAATGGTGTCAATTTGAGGCGAATATTCTGATATACAGAGCAATAGACGTTCTCAGTGCTCACAAATTTATCGACGCCAAAGGAATGACCAAAAATGTATTCACCATATACACTTCTACCCCTCTCCCCTCACACAAACCCCGCTCCACTACCCCGCAAGGTGCTCTCCTTTCTACTTCTATCTTATTTGAGCCTTTTCCCGCCTACTAAAGTCTAGTATTTTCAAAGCAAACAATGAGGAAGACGATCAAGGACAAGCAAAGCTTCGCGTCCGCCCTTACCTTTACGCTTTCGCATATGCCTAGGATTTTCGCATGTTCCGTATCAATTACGCTGGCTCTAAGAATCCAGAAAGGGAAATAGTATATATAGTTATCGTTGTCTGTAGTAATGCAATACTGTCATTTAAAATCACTCCACTCATACATCCCCACTATTAACAATCCCATTTCGTCGATCAAGTTTCAACTATAACCTCATTATCTCCACCAATTAAAACACAATCGCAAACTCCCACTCCCACCGTTTCCCCACCCCTCCCCCTCCTTCCCACTCACATACTACAATTCAAATCCCAATCCCAATCCCAATCTCAAATTTACTCTCACACCTCAAAATCCAGGATCCAAAACCCCACAATCCCAAAAATTCTTTCCTGTCTAATGCACCCTAATAACCTTGGGAATCTCCCATCAGTTTTTAATCTTTACACACCCACACACACACGCATACATCCAATACACACCTACCCACCCACCCACCAATCAATCAAGCCCCGCATTCACACCCACCAAGTATTCGAAGCCAAGAACCGAAGCGAGCTCCGAAGCGAGAATTTGATATCATTTCATCCGATGTAATTCGACTCAATTGAAACGACCTCGACTTATATCAACTTTACTCAACTAACCCACACACAAAAACAACATACATACCAACCCAATCCAAATTAATAAGCCTCTGACGAGATCAATCTGGAGGTTTTCGATTAAATTCATTAAATGATGAATAAGGAATAAGGAAAAAAAAAATCCGCTTATCATCCATCTGTCTTTCTATTTTTCCATTTATCAAGTGTTAAAAATTATACATATATTATTATATCATCATACCATTATCCATCCCTCTACACCCTTCCCACAATCCAAATTTCCATTTTTTTCCAAAATAAATCATCTATTTTCCTATGATTGATCTCCCGAGAATTGTAGGGAAAAGACCTACGCAGAAAATCGCAAATTGGTAAATTTAAACTATATATCTAATACGCCGGATATACCAAATCACTCTCCGAAACCACTATCTCAGCAGCCTAGATTCGATCCACTTACAATCCCGATTTAACCCACCGTCTTCCCCTCGTCTCCTCGTCCCATTTCCCCATCCCATCCCCTTCTCAAAGAAACCAGGAAGGAGAAACTCAAGGAAAGGAAAGAAGAAAGAAAATAACGAAAAGATGAAAACAAAAAAATCACGACTCCATTCCATTGCATCAAACTCCATCATACTTCTAATACTTCCAAAATAAAAAATAAAAAATAACATTCCGTGTAAGTTAGAAGTAGGAGCGTTTTTACTTTTACACTTCTGTGTACATTCATCATCACCATCATCACCATAATCTTTCCATCTCTGAACCCGCTCTTTGTACTGTGATAAGTATTCCCGAAACCTCATTGAGTACCTCTTCTCCCTGTAATAACTAAATTTGTATCTTCAACTTGCTCCCGTAATCATGAGATATCATAAATCTTGCACCGCACACCACACATCATACACCATAAATCACCCAATCCCAATCCCATTCACTCCTCTCCTTCACCCATTGTCTCCCCTCCTCCTCTCCCCCAATCCCAATCCTCACCCGATCCCCAAATTTCCAATTTCAAACACCCAGTACTCAACTCCATGCATCCCACTATACCACCCTGAAAACCACCCACCTAAATCCCCTCCTACACATTGTCATTCTCCCGTCTAAACTCCGACCTCCTCCAAAACCGCACTATCTAGCCAAAACACAATTGCTGGCTTGCTCTTGAGCAATCACAAGTGATATCTTTTCTTTTTCTCCTTCTTTTTCTTGCACTTCGAGGTTGTCATCTTTTTTCATCTTTTACTGCCGGGGTTTTTATTGGTAATAAGTATATTTATGACATAATTATAAGTCTAGTTGTTGAATCTATGTATGATATTAATTCTATAAACAGATGCTGTTATTAAATACATCTCTTGTACCATTGAATACATCTTATTAAATTGTGCAATACTAGTCCTTTCCTCATCTACATTTAAGGTTTTGTCCTATATATGTAAGAGCTGCTATTATCGCAGAAATGTACAGACTCACAAGTATTTCCCTTTTCCACGAAATGAATGACTTAGCACGGTATCTATGCTTCTGCCAGAGGGTTGAAGTAGATCATACTTCGTGATCCAGTACCTTGTACCCATGGGCAGTGAGACTCAAAGCCGGCATTCCGTATTATCTCCCCTCATAACAACCATTCATGCCAAAGTGACTGGCTTTGGCTTCCATATCGCCCAACTAAAAGAGATCACAACTTTTATAGCAGCAGCAAGCCAGAGAGCAGCAGATAAACCAGCCGAACTTCGACTGATCCAACCCCCAGCAATTCCACCAGAAAGAATAGCCAGAACAGCTCCTACTCTTCTGTTCCTCTTAACATTATTTCGTGCAAGTACCTTTGGATCCGAAGCAATGTCACAGTAGACACTGGTCAAAACCGTAGTAGGAATTTCATTGAAGCCCAAAATTCTCGACGTAACAATTTGACCACCAGATTGGAATGCCAGGAATGCCAAGGGGATCAACTCGATAAAATTGATTTCATCCTCGATTGACTTAACACCGAGTGGTTCTGGTACCACACTTCTTTGTACCAGTGCTGCAGCTATTATGATACAGATTCCTTGTAACAAAAAAGAT